GTGCTCCTGCAGCTCCCAGGAAGGTTTTGGCTCCCAGCAGGGTCCAGCCTGGGGCTCACAGCAAAGTCAATAAAACAAAAATAAAACAATAAACCAGCTTCTGCTGAGCCTGCAGAAAAGAGAACTCACACTTTCTTTTCAGTGTTCTTTACTCATGGAACCGTTTGTTTCTCCAGAGACAAAGAGGGAAGGAAGAAATTCATCCGTTACACAATCCCCACGATTCACTGCTGTTGTTCTGTATGTGCTGACACAAACCATGCTGGAGAAGGTGAAGAAAGTGTGTTTATTTCTGATTGAAGACTGATTACATCACTATCATGGATAATGTAGTAGAATAATCTTATACTCTTGGGAGAAATCTAGGAATAAATATGAAGAAGTAAAATAGTTTGTTTCCACTGTCCCTGAAGATGGCTGATGAGTAAGTGCTGTATTTACAGGATAGTTATCATACTCTAGACTCTGTGCTGAATAAATATTGTCTTGAAAGGGTAAAAAAATCCATCGAAATATTTTAACTCACCACAAAATTAAAATAAAAAAATCCATGTATTTGTCCAAAGCGAAGGTTAGTTACATGTTAATTATTGAATCCACATGGGATCACTGTCCAAGAATCCTCTCCTGCTGACCCAGAGAAGCAGTGTTAGTGCTCGTCCTCTTCTCCACTAAAGAGCCACTATTGGTTCTTCAGGCTGCAACAGAGAAACGAAGCCCAAGTCACGTTCCACCCTGGTGTATTTTATGAAAGAAAACCACCACAGAAAATTGGAAAAAGTCTCCTTTCTTTAGGTTCTAAATTTGAATTTAAGAGCCTCACAAATCCTGCCCAACTCCGTGGCCCAGCACAGCTCAGCTGATGAGGAATTCCTCACTGGAATTGGCTTGGCAAGCTCAGGATTGTGCAATTAACCCAGTGTTTGGGTTTTACATTAAAATAATTAATCTGCACACCCAACACCACAACACAGAGCTGTACAGGCCGCTCCTGGGGCTTTCAAATTATGATCAAAACAGAAGATATCAGAGATATCTTCATTTCCACTTACATTAAAAGGGAACAGAGACAAGTTAGATCTCTAATGAGGGGAAGTATTACATTCACTTTCTTCACAGGCAATGTAATTATTCAGCTCCCTGGAACTGAAACTATGACAAATTAAAATGCCTATCAATTCCATCTACCTTTTGTAACTATTCATCTTCTGGAATTGTTACTGCTCTAAAAGCTTCTTTCCCATAAGCCACTATATATTACAAAAATCACACAGAAGTGCTACTATTACCAAGTGTTACTGCTGCCACCAAGGTAAGAAGAAAATCCTTTGATTTGGGTGTAAAGTGCACAATACAATTCATTTACTCTAATTTACTGGAAATCTCCTGTCAGAGAACACCTTCATTCTGAGTGAGGATGTGCAGAAGGAGCCCAACCTTCTGGCACCAGGGACAGGAGAAACAGAAACACCATTTGGCACTAAATCTGACCCAAAAATTCAGTCTGAGCCAAGGCAGCCCCAAAGCTCCCCCCGTGTTGGCTGTGCCAGGCACGCAGATCTTGGGACATGCTTCAGCCACAACAAGCTGTCAATATTTGTTCACACCTTCTTAAATAGATGGGAAAAGTGATGTAAACGAAACCATGGGCAAGGGTGACATTTCTCCAGGCATGATATTAACAATATTTTGATTAGATCATTCCTGAATAGCCAAGCAGCTTATGTTGATAAATATCCTGTTCCAATTAGACATCTGTGTTCTCAGCCTGAAAATAAAAAAAAAGAAAAGAGGAAAGAGCCCACCCAGGCCCAAGCCTGCTGTCTCTGCTCCTCAGCAGGACATCAACCATCTGGGTTTCCTGAGGATGCAGCCCAAAGCCAAGGCCAAGAGCAGGAAGGGCTGCAGAGCCACCATGACCATTCCTAAACGCCTCAGAATTCATTTTGGCCGTTCAAGTGGTTTTACCCCAATGATGGCTGCAGGATTGGGTCCCCTCTCTGTGAAAATCTTGATATTAACCAAGAAAGTCTGAAAGGGAAACCCTTACATGTATTAGCATCTATGAAAGTGTAAATGAGTGATGATAAAACCCTGGAACACACGTGTGAGCTCTGGATGTGGCAGAGAGGTCTGGCTGATCAAAGAGACAAAATGAAGGCGAGAAGACAAAATTGTTCTTTATGGAACAGGGAGTGGTTATCCCCACAGAGTGAGAGTTCCTTACCAGAGCTCAGCTCTCAGCTCATTGCTGCTGCTGGGACAGAGCCACAGCTGCCTCTGGGCTCTCTGCTCCTTGCACACTCGTGCCCAGAGGGTCCCTCCCGGCCCGATCCAGACCCTCTGCGGTGCCTCCCCCAAGGGCAGCTCTTTTCTGCAGCCCACAGGGATGACCCAGCCTTTCCCAGCCCCTCCCCAGGAACCTCCTTTTGCCAAGCCCAGGCCAACGTCCTGCACAAGCATTGCTTTGACCCCAGACACTGAATATCCTCTGTCTCCTTTCACAACTAGCTGCGACTTTAATCCCTGTTGTTTGCTGCAAATCGCTTCGAGCAGTGATTTTTCATTTTCACAGTTTGCATAAAGCAGAAAAGAGGGAGGTTTTGTTTCTGCCAGCCCATGGAACAGTGAGGAGCGAGGCTCCCAGTCTCTCAGAAGCACCATTCCCACCTGGCATTCTGGCTGCTGCTGGTCCCACGGGAAGGAGCTCAGCCAAAGGGGGCACTGGCCCCTGGCTGGCACCTGCCCAGCTCTGCTCCTCTGAGCTCCATGGGGGGAGGAGGGAACGAGAGAGGAGATTAAAAAAAACCCCATCTATTTCTGGAAAGCAAATCAAACAATGACTCAATCATCTCTACACAGTTCATAAATCCCCAATTAAAGGTTTAGTGCTCCTCCCTGCTGCAGATGTTCCAGAGTCCATCCACATTCCAAAATTGCTCCATGCCAGCACGTGCCCACAGCCAGGGGCATCACCCATCCGAGCCTGAGCTCAGCCCTGCACTCCCCACACATCCAATGTGCCATTCAACCTTCATTTTCAAATTAAGCTCAAGTACCTGCACCCTGGAGAAAAAAAAAGGGAGCTGGCAGATTATCTGCTTTGTGTATGCATGGGCTGGAGGGATAAAGGACCAGCTCAGTCCCAGCTCCCTCTTCCTGCATCTTTTATTCAACACCAAAATACCAGCCCAGACACTTCGAGCTGCTTCCTAAGCCCTATTCCCCCCTCCTTTGGTCAAACAAATGCAGTCAGGAGCACTCGGGGCAGCCCCTGAAGTTCCTACGAATGGCTCACCTCTCCTGGCCACACCACTCAAGGTGCTCTCTGCTCTCTGCAGAGCTCTCAGGAGCAGTGATAAATAACCACAACACAAATCATTCCTCAGAAAAGTTCTTCCCTCCTGAACTCCCGAAGCAGCTTTCCAGGAAACTCATCTGCCTGCTATTTTTTGGGTGGTATCAACTTCCATCCTGCAATCACTGTTCCCTGTTCTGCTCTTTGTCCCAGAGCAAAACCCCTGTATCCCTTTACCCCACCCCTCACCAACTGCCCCTTCTTCAGGTTTGTTTAGTCTTTAACTCTATGAAGTATGACAGCTACATAAAATGTTTTGTTGCCTTGGCAACTGCAGTCCAGTGGCTTCAGCCTGAGTTGGGAGGCAGAGGACAGCCTTGACATTAACCAACAATAATGAGAGCAGCAGAAACCAGGGGGGGACACTGGCTGAGGTAGGGGACAATCCTCCCTGCCCCCTGCACGGAGCACACCTGGAGCCACACCTGGAGCCACACCTGGAGCCACACCTGGAGCTTCAATGACCCAGAGGGACATCACAGGTGTGGAAACTCAGCAAAGAAGCAGGTCTGGATTTCCAGAGTCCCTTTCTTTGTATAGAAGAGGTAATTGCTTGGAAAAGCTAGAGAGACACAGATGCAGCCCTGCCAAAATCTGTTTGTGCTGCCCAGCACATTCCTTTGCACTGAGAACAGGCAGAGCCAGGGCACACGTGTCATCTGTCACTCCTACCAGTCCAAGCACGAGAAACTTCCCAAGGTGTTCATTCACATCATGAGAAATTCAGATTTCTAAATCTCTGCTAATTGCAGGAGACTGCACAACAGAGCAGAAGGTGTGGGGATAACCCAGCGGACCAGGCACCTTTCTGGTGTGGGGAATTGGTGACACATCTTTCTGCACATCTCTATCTCCCATCCATAAACTCCTTTATCCTACACAATAACACCAACAGCAACCACAGCAATAATCACACAGACTTGGAAGGACTGGCAAGGGAAGGATGAATTACAGCTCTGGGCCAGGGCAGCATGGCACAGATGCTGTCATTCCTGTTCCCAAGAAGAAGAGCTCTCAGCTCTGTTTTCCAGCAGTGGGAATTTGTTGGGTATGGATCCCAGCCCTGGCCCAGCTGTTCCCACATAGCCTGGCCGGGCAGGGATCCCCCATCAGGGAGATGGAGGCAGCAAAGGCCACAGATTGCTCCTGGCACAGCCCAAAACCAGGGCTGGCTCACTCCCTTGGCCCCAGCCCACACCTGCAGTGCCAGGTGTGCTGATCACTGCATGGGGAAGACATTACTCACATTAGCTCTGTTCTCTTTATTCAGGGAGCATTTGAGTACCAGGAACCTGTGAAGATCTGACATCAGCTGGGGAAGGGCTGAGTTTATCCTTGGCTGGCTTAAGCAAAATGAGCCATTAGCAGCCATTGCTGGTTCTGCTCGTTCTGCTCACTTTTCACACTACCCTCGAAGCTACCTGAAGCACTTCAGGTACATCCCTTTATATTCCTCTCCTAATCTGGGCAGCTCCAAGTGATTCAGCCTGAAATGGTTCCCAAAGCTCACATATAAGTGCATTAGGAGCAATTAGTTCATTAATCTAGTCTCTGGTATCATGTATCTCCATCGCTTCATTTTAATAATTTGTAGTAATTGACAGAGCAGACTCCCCCCAGTTGTCATAGCTGGGTAATGCATAATTACTCTAAATCACAGCAAAAACTGTTTCCCTGGGAAACACCTAATCCCCTTAGGCTCATGGTATCTCTTCTGAGGTTTCACACATGAAAGAAGCTGCAAACTCAGTATCATTATCCACAAGTCAGTGGGACTGCACCAAGCCCATGTGGGCTCAGCCCTGCATTCCTGCACCTGGAGGTGCCTCTGGTGGCTGTGCTTTCCCAGCATGGGGCACAGCTGGAGCCCTGGGAACAGCTGGAGCCCTGGGGCACAGCTGGAACCCTCGAGCACAGCTGGAGCCCTGGGGCACAGCTGGAGCCCTGGGGCACAGCTGGAGCCCTGGGACACAGCCCCAGTGCAAGGCTCTCACACCATTCCACCCTGAGGCTCAGCAATACTCACTTGGCCTGGTGTTTGGAGCCCTTCAGGTGTGCATGGTACTGCTCTATGGAGTTCAGGGTGACGTTGCAGATGTTGCAGGTGTAGCTGCGCTTCAGGCCTGTGAAGAAAAGCCAGTGCTAATTAACTCTTAAGTGTTAATGAACTCTGTCTGTGCCACACGGGGAGGCCGAGGGAAGCACAGGGCTGCACCAGTGGTGCTTGGCTATGGACTATTCAGAGTCAAAATGGCAGCTAGAAAATACAAATAAGTGAGAATGACTGAAGAAAGGGGGAGAAACGGGGAAGAAAAAAACCCAAACTGTAACCTGTGCTCCATGCAAACTTCTAGTTAATTAAGTTAATTAGAAAGTACTAGGATGCCACATTTCATTTCCAGTTTCAGAGACATTTCTCTTTACAGTGACCCATCTATTTACTGTTCCAGACCACAGTATCCAAGCATTAGAGAAACCTACAGGAATATTTTTAGAACTGAGCAGAAGAAAGCCAGGTTCAAAGGCTAATCCCTCCTGAGAGTGTGGTGCTTCTCCCCTGTGCCCTCCTCAGGGCATCAGTGCTGTGCTCACACCAGCAAGCACTCGAGGCATCATTTATCCCTCTGGTTTCTGGTAGTGATCACAATTCAGAGCAATTCCCTGCCAGTACATTCAGCAGCCAGATCACTTAGAACTCTCTTTTCCCCAAAGGGATCCGCTCTGATTTATGCAGCAAAGGGAACCAGCCTAGCACAGATGCTGGTCTCTGGCTGAAGGTCAAGGCTGGCAGCCTGCAGAGCACCAGGCAGCCACCCAAGGGCAGAGCAGGAGCTCTCTCACCTGTTGGGCTGTCTCTGGCTGCAGTTCAGGCTGTCCCCAGCACAGCCAAGGGCTCTGCTCACAAACACTGCAGCCATGGGATTCCTAGCAGGGACTGCTGTGCTCCCCAGGAACACTTCTAATGTTCCTTGTAACAGTCTCTTCTGGCTTTCTACACTATTATTTCTTTGCCAAAATTGTAAAAACAGCTCATTTAGAACAAATAACCTGTGGCATTCTCAAATTTGATCAGTCCATGCTCACCATAATTAAGTGCACAGGTAATAAACACACTGACCTCTCCCCAACTAAACCTACAGGCTTCCAAAAAACCCCTTGTCTTGTTTTGTGCTCCAGACACCAGCTACACCAACAGCCCCATTTTTCTCAAACACTTCATAATATCTCTCACCCAGGATTTTGGCACAACATGAAAATCATCTTTAAATTGTATTTCAAAATCATTCAGATGAGTGCTTGAAAACAACAAGCCAGCAACTGCAGAGGTATTTAAGCAGTTTCTGCATTTCTATGCCATGATGTGGCACAGAACAAAAATCAATTTGCAAATGTGCATATGGATTTTCTCCTTACAGAATTTATTCCTGATGGAGCAGTGATGGTTTCACAGTCACGCCCTTTGTCCATTGCTGGCAGCTCCTGTTTCCTTCACTAAACCAAGAGAAGCCAGGTGCATCCAGCAGAGTGCAGGAGAAGGGATGGGAAGGGCAGTGCATGGCTGGCACGGTGTGCCTGCACCTCAGCAGGATCTCCACATGGCAGAGCAGGACTGGGGAACTAAGAAACAGGTAATACTTTAATTTAAGGTAATAAGGTTGTGCTGCTCAACCAATTTAGCAGCAAGTTAACAACAGCCTCAGTGAGTCTTAATTACTGGTGTAGGTGGGAACGCCTTCAGCAAGCGCAGCTCCTAACTGGGGATGATGATTTTCTCCCTCAGCATGTCAAGGCTACTCACAGTGATGAACCAGGGGGAATCCTGTTCCCCCCCTGTGTTCTGTGCAGGGAACTCAGTGCTGTTCCCTGATGCAGCTCTTCCCACAGGCTGGAACCTGCAGCCACAGGCTGGGCTGATTCTGTGAGCTGGGATGGAGACAGAGAGAGGAAATTAGCCTCAAATGAACAGCAGGATGAGACCACAGGTGATAATCACTTCCAGGATATAAAAATTACCAGAATTTGACCTCACTGGAGCTCATCAAAGGTGCTACTTGGCTGAAACTGGTTTCATAAAACTCCCCAAGCAGTGTGCTGGGGCTGAGCTCAGCCCCATCTGTGAAGGGAAGGGGGTCCCAGCCTGAGCAGTCAGTCCATGCTGGCTCTGCCTGTATTCACATCCCCTTTTGCATCCTCAAGACACATCAGCATTGCCTCCCCTGCAGCGTGACATGCATTCATGTAAAATTGAATGTCCTCCTATCCCCATTAGATAAAATATTAACAAGTCAAGTTATTAATGTCATCCTGCATAAAATGCATTAAAACCCATTCCAGGGGAGTTCTTGTTAAACTGCTTCTTACTAACCACAAGTGACAGCACAGAATGAGAAGTATTTATAAGGCATACAAAGAAATTATGAGCTGAAATGAAAAAGGAAACAGCTCTTTGTCTGATTCTGGAAGAAAGCAACTGCAGCACCACCAATTTACCTGAGAACACAAAGGCTCCAAGTGACACCATCTCCATGCCCCTGTCCATCTGTAGTGCAGAGGCTGCTGTGCTTTATTTTAGGGATTCAGAGCTCTTGTTGCAGGGTTTGGCTTGGCCCCAGCACCAGGCAGAGCCCATCACAAACCACCTCCCTGGAGAGCTGGGCCATGGGGGACACCAGACATGAACTAAAACTGCTGAGATGTGACTTGGAAACTTTCCCTTCCTCCTGCCTGGTAGAGGCTGGGGAGGCCAGAGCTGTCAGGGGAGCCCCAGCCAAGCTGTGGCCCCTCCGTGCTGCTGAACAGGCACGAGTTGTCAGAGCAGAGCCTGGAATTTGGGCTGGGACCCACCAGGCTGTGCCAGGGTGCAGGGGCACCAGGGATTCCAGTCAGCCACAGAACTGCTCTGAGAGTGGCCTGGACCCTGCACCCCAGCCAGCCAAGGAAAAGGGATATGTGTGCCCTGAGCTGCAGCTTTAACTCAGCACAGACTGCAGAAACAATGCTCATTTCTCTTTCTTTTTTTCTTTTTTCCTCTCCTCATTCTTATTTCGGAGAAGAAAATAAGACTTCAAAATTGGTGAGCAGTTGGTGAGAAGAATCAATGTTTTTGTTTCCTATAAATATCAATTGTCCAAAAATATATCTCTATTCTTGTTTCTCCAAATATACATTCATATTTATCAATAAATATTTTATTACAGCCATTATCAAAACATCAAAGGCTGCTGAAATGTTGTACTTCAACTGACACTGCCTATTCCAGGCTCACACAATGCATCAAATGTTCATCTCCCACACTAGTCAAAATAGAATTAATATTTAAGCTGTGATGGGAGAAGCCACCAGGGATGCAGAGGAAGGAGATGACTTTGCAATCCGAGGAAAACTGAGGCAGCAAAGACCCTGTGGTGCAGGGAGAGCGTGGGGATGTGTCCCGACCACAGCCGTGCCCTGCAGGCAGACCTGATGTCACCTGCCAAGGTGAGGCTGCGTGCTCGGGCACAAGCTGGAGATCACTGTGTGTATCTCTCCCTGCAGAGACTGCTTCCAACAACACCTGCAAAGATCTGCTCGAATCTTGCAGCATCCAGGAGAGCAATTTTAGATGGACACAGATGGACAGATGCTCACGACCTGGTCAGGAAAACTAAAAGAGATTTCCCATGTCGGCAGGCTCAGGACAGCCTCCCTGGGCACTCCCTGGGCTGGGGCACTGCAGACAAGCCCTGGAACTGCACCCCGAAGTGTCCAGCCAGAGGAGCACCCCTGGTCCCCTACCCCAGGCACACACACAGCTCTGCTGTCCCCTCTCCTGTCATCCACACACACTGGCACGACCACACTGCATCCAGTGCAAACCCCAGCCATGCCCAGCACCACCCTGAGGGTAAAACCCAGCAGCTGATGGGGCTGAGAAGGCCTCCAATTTCAACTCTCCCAGGAGCTAAATGAATAAAACACTTCACAACTGATTTATTTACAGTTAATGACATCCTCAGCCACTCCTGAACCTGGCAGAGTTCAAAGTCCTGTGTTATTGTCCCAGGTTTTATTCCCACATACTTCCAGCAGCGGGCAGTGACTCAGCCAACATGAATCATTGATGGCACCATGAGTCACTCTAGGTAGCACAGGAGGATCAAGATAACCATTACAAGGTTTATGGGAGATCAAGAAATGCACAATATACTGTACAGTCATTAGTATCTAAAGAAGAATTATTTAATTTATCAAGGAAGAAAACCCCAGGTGTATCACAATGTTATTGCAAAGCCTCCCTGCCAAAGCAAAGCTCTCCCACATGGCTCTGAATCAAACCTGTCCTTCCTCAGCGGCCTCAGCCAGGTACTGAGTGCACGTGGGATTGTAACCAGACCATGGACACAAAAGGCTCCAGGCTGGGCTGTGCCTACAGCTCAGAGCAAACAGGTACTTGCCAAAATTCAGCCCTGGACACATCCTCAGCCAAACTGCACCTCTGCACCACAAGCTCTGGGGGATGCTGGGGGGCTCCAGCTGCTGAGTCTGCTGCCCTGGCTGTGGCTCTGCTCTGCTGGAGGGTGGCAAGCCCAGGGCACAGTTCCCACAGGGATCCTGAGCTGCCAGAGCCCTCCCCGAGGGGCCACCACGGACACATGAAGAAAGGCTGCTGTCCCTTCAGCAGGAACACAAAAAACTTGTGTTTAACATCCCTGTGGCAAATGCTCAGCTCCTGTGGCTGCTGCTGAGCCAGGGCCATCGCAGCATTTTACAAGCACTAATTAAATCACAGGAGACAGTTGTCCTGCTCTCCATCAGGGAGATGTAGGGAGTGCTCTGCCTCCAGCAAAATCCTTCTTCTGCATGGGGCTGAGCTGTGCCGTGCTCTCCTGTCCCAGGGACAGGCCACACTTGCTCAGGGACAGGTGTGTGCACTAATGGACTGTTTTAGGAGGAGGCAAAAGAGACACCTAGGAAACAGCTCCGGAAGGATGCTGCTAAAGCTGCAGGCTGGCATTCAAGAGCAGGGGAGTTTTTACAGAACCGGGAACCTCAGGAAGCAGTAGGGGCACCTGGGGCTCCTGCACCACTGCTGACCACAGCGGGCAGGGGTCCCTGGCTCCCACAGGGACAGTCCCTGCTCCGTGTGCAGCTCTCACCTCGCAGCTCCCCCAGGTCCAGGGTCTTGCCCAGCTGCTCCAGGAGGTCGGCCCTGGCCGCGTTCTTCTTGTGCTTTTTGCCGTCGTAGTGCTGCTGTGCCATGATGGGGTTGTTGAACCAGGCCGTGCAGAGCTGGCAGTGCCTGTCCGAGTCCCGGCGCTGCTGCGGCGGCGGCGGCTCCGCCCCGGCTCGGTCGGAGTGCGGTGC